AAGTACTTACCTGACTGACTCAGGAGTAGCGACCAGAGAATAGCCGACCTTAGAGAAAGCAGGTGGTTGTATCCCATTTTGTGCTCTGGTGGTAAGGAGGAGTCCACCTTCACCGGACAGCACGGAGGAGTTTACAACCGCTGTCAAAACGTTGTCTCGAAGAGGTGAGAGCAAAGTCTATCATCTTGGCAGCCGGGAGGCATAACAGGACAACTTCTCCACTACTGTTACTATAGCTGCTTTTATATCTGTGGGCGGGGAGAAGGTATGACGATGCTCTGACTGAATATCTTTGTTGTCTTTCTCCTAAAGCTCAGCATCTATGCGCGCGTCACCCTGCTCACTTTACCTGCTTAGTGTGGATGAGAGGAGAGCGAAGACTACTTTCTGCGCATGGAGTCGGAGAGCTATCCATCACACTCGATGCAGAGAGCGACATTAACACTGTAGCCTATCTCTTGTTTATATACAGACTTTATTTACCAGTTCATATCACAGCCTCAAGGAATCGAATAATATAAAAAGTCAGTGCTGTGTGATATTTTATCTCAATAATGTCGCCTATTTACGCACGGTGCCAAGATTTTACGCGTCCTCTGTGACCTTATCTAAGATTTTGGTATCAATTTAAAAATGCGCTTTCCCCTTATGATCAGATGAAGTATGGCTAGTGGCGACTCTGGTCTCTTAGGTCGACAAAACAGCATCATCCACCCTGAGAAGAGGAGCACATCTAAGCATTTATTTTCCTCTTATTGCCTTCCTATAGCAGTCCCTCCTTCTGTCTCTTGCTGAATCTCTTTCTCTCTCTCTCTCTCTCACACACACAAATCGGATTCACTGTTAAAGTTGCAAAACACATTGGAAGTTTTCTCCAAAAGACTATTTAATTTGACATTAAATCATGAGGATAAGTAACCTTGAAGAAACATCTGTGGGATATTTCTCTCATACAGCTAGAGGGCAGACTAGGTGAATCAATATGCATAGTGAAGTTTTGGTTTTCCCCAAAAATACCTTTAAAAAAAATTCACCAAAGGCTGATTTGTTGTTTGTTACTGTATCATATTGTACATTGCACAAATTCATATTGATTGCACATATCAAAACATTCCCTCTGAGTCCTGACAGGATTTAAAAGAGAATAGTAATGGACATGAACTCACAACTATAGCTTTATTCTCACATGTAAATCCATGGTGTGTTGTCTATCTGCTTACTTCTTCCTAATTATCTCATTGTTTATACAATATTTCAAGCCTCATTCAGAGGTTATTGCATGGTTTTCTCAAAACAACAGAAATCCCTTAAACAAAACTGTCCTAGTTACAGATGTCTCCTTTTTTTGTTGCAAAAGCAAATCTCCATTGAAACATACTGGCCTCCATGTGCACCCTGGAACCAGATGGCCGATCCATAGCTTCCTATGGAGAAGACTAACAGAGTCATTACGTTTGGTCTCTGAAGTCCAGTCTGATTTGATTCATAAACACTCAACTTGGCTCAGACTGGAGTCACATACTGTTGCCATGTTTGACCTCAACCAATTCCACAAATAATGCCTGTGTGGAAAATAATATTTTATGGGTCAAGGGTAATAAATTTTGTGAAAGGCAAACATGTTTCTTTTTATGCAACAGTCCTTGTTTGTTGTGTTCTTTCATCGTTCACATGCTGTGAAAATATGAACCTCGGAGATTCACTTTTGTTTATTACTGCGGCAGGCGTAATGTTTGACTGACACATTGTATGTCAGTGCTGCAAAACACATATAGGTGAGAAATAAAAAAATATAGCATTGCAGAAAGGTTCGTTTTGTTTTTTCAGTCTCACGTAAGATTAGTCACAAATTAGAGGATGACGTGTGAGCAGTTAGACTTTTCCACTTCCTTACTGATGGATTTTTCTGATATCTTTCAGCTGCTTTGTGAAGGAAGCGTGCAGGGCCTGTGATGAGCTCTCCAACCTGTTGGCGATGTCTGCTGTGGCTTGAAGCATCTCCTCAAAGGCCAAGGACTCTTCTCTGATTCTGCTCAGGAACACAAACGATCCAGGTTACCAAGTGGAGTGAAGGGAAGAAGGAAGCAATGGGAGCAGGTATTCATTAACAGTAAAGTTAAATACAAATTGGTTTTAATTCCTTGAAAAATGATTTACTTACGTCTGCATCCCAGCCAGGGCTTCCAGCACATTTCCCTCCAGCTGCTTTTCTAGATCTGCTTCAGCTTTCTCTACCACCTCGTGGCAGCTCTTCTGATCATCTTGAATGCCAATAATATTTTCCTTTAGAACATCTTCATAGCTTTGATCTCCTAGTTCTGCCCCCACAAACTGAACCAGGTTCTCCATCACTGCCTTGTTTGCATGCTGGATGGTCTGCAGATAGGCCAGGTCCTCTCTTTGGGCCTTCAGCCGTCGAGCTGAGGCACTGTTAGTGCTGAAGTAGACGGAGCACTTGTCCTGTTGGGGATCATAGTGCAGCGAAAGCGAGGGTGATAGCGAAACTGCTGCTGATGTAATCCAGTCATGGTTGTTTCTCGTCTTCACAGGCTCATCACCGATTGCCTGCGATGTGTCATTGGTGGCGATCACTGCAGAGAAAATGCCAAATCCTGAGCCCCATTCACCATCGCCACTTTGACAGCGCGTTGGGGTTGCCATGGATACCCAGGCCAAGATGAAGGGCATCCAACAACACAACATGGTAACCTGGAAAAAAAAGAGGAGGTAAGTGACTCTGAATAACTTGATCAACAGGTAAAAATCAGCTTTTAGTTTCAGCAAAATAAACATATCAGGGGCGTGTTTTAGTGTTGATCTGGATCATCATCATCATCTGGATCCAGAAATTTTTTAAATGATTCTTCACCACTGTGAGAGATAAAGCCAATTTCTTTATTTTTGCTTCTAACTCTATACACAATTACATGGTAACATCCACATAAAGATCTACCACACACTAAAGTGTGATTTGGATCCAAGTAATCCAAGTAAAAATATGTAACGTACAAAATAGTTTCTAATTAATTATGTTAACATGGATTTTTATCTACACTATACTTAGCAAGCAGAGCTGTAGTATATCTATTGATATTGGTTATTACATCCTTCAATGTGCCATTTGTCCATTTTTTTAATCAAAGCTCTTTTAGTTTGCTCACTCATTCTTCTGGGATAACACTTCAATTTTTACACGATTCAGCTGTGAATTCAAAGATCCACATGCCGTCTATTAAAGGTATTAGCCTGGCGTAGGCTAATCTGTAGACGTTCCCATGGTAGTTACTCTGTTTTGATGCTTTAAGCAGCTTTATATAAATCACACATACACTGTGGCTGTGGTACAGTTACTGTGCAAAACAAGAGGTGTTCTGGTTAAAGGCTAAAACTTTAATCTGACTGTATTACACTGAATGAAGAAGTATCTGTAGCTGAAGTAGAATTATCCATATTGAGTGTTGGTGCCTGAAATTCACCAATGCAATTTGAGCAACTTGATCGGCTTGAATGTTTAGATCAGAATGTGACTAAATCAGAATACTTAAATATACAGTAGTTTTTGAATGTGTACAATTAAGTTGTGAAATTATAAGCTTTTCCTGGAAACATTTCATTGATCATTCATGTTTTCTAACATTAGTGATGTACAGCACAAAGATGTGTGCTGGTTGAGTTGTTACATGTACATGCTGACACCTCACACTCTGTGGTTGGGCCATGGCTTAGCGGATGCATGATTTGTGTCACGCGAGGGCTGTGAAAGCTGACACAGCCTCTGGTAGCAGCGTTTGTGTTGGTTCTGGTAACTGGCGATTTGTCTGGGAATCTTTCACAACATCTGTTCACGTCATAAATCCTTAAAACACATGAGAAAAGCTGCTTGCCTCTCCACCACTTGAGTTACAATGTTCAGTCAAACAGCAGCAGTGTCACTTTATCATTCTGCAGACAGCCGTTCATGCTTCTTTTGTCAGGATTTGGAAATAACTGTGAAGAAGAAGCAGAGCTCTTTCTGAGCACATTTGATTTTAGCTACATTTTACTTTTACACAGATTTGAAACTTCTTATAACTGAAGTGAACATTTGCATTGGTTGAACTGCACCTATTGTTGTGTTTTGCCCAGTCATTCTTGCTACTAGCATGGACTGTAAAATTGTCTGTTTATTTTGAGATGAGTTGTAGTGTTGCCAAAACTCATAAAAAACAACTGCTGGCTCCCTCTGTTTCTGGTTACTTTGAATGGTGACTTCACTTATGATACAGTAGCTGTAAGACAAGCAGGAAATGGAAGCCTTAAAACCAATTCAGACAGCGAGCAGAGACGCAGCCCAGGAGCCTTGCATCATGATGTTAGTGTAGTAATTGTGCTCATTTCTTTTGACTGATGTGTGCACTGTAATGGACAGATTGATATCACTCACTGGAATAAAACATTTAATGAGTTTTGCCTGAGGTGACAGATTTGTATCAGTTATTGTTTGGACAGCTTCAATAATATTATCAGTTTACTATGAGCATTTACAAAGAGCCTGGCATTAGAATGGATCCCTGCTGCCTTCCTATAACTTAAGTTTTTAACATGTAGAATATGATGTATGCTTTTGAGCATGCTGATCTAAGAAATACTCTAAGAAGTGACACTTGTGAATGGGTAGACAAAATCCAGAGGTCAGTTCAGTATGAAACCTGTCATAACATGAGAGCAGAAAACACAATTGAATGGTATCGTCGTTATCGAAGACATCTAAAGTTCCCTGGTTGGAGAGATTCAACACAGCACATCCAAAACATAATGTTATTCTGATCATTTACTGCACGTGTTTTGACTTTAACAAAACAAAACCTCATGGCGCAGAGTGACACTTTCGATCTAATACAGCCAAATGGAAATGTGATTCATCTCAAAATATAACTTTGTCTCTGCATTCAGCAGTAAGAGAGATGCTCACTGACATTAATTCAGTCTGTAAAAGGCCTGCAAACCAGATTGGCAGGAGCAGTTGCCTTTGTCTCAGGAAAATGTCTGCACAATTTCCATGCTGTCATCTCATAATTGAGTTGAAACAGTGTTTGTGTTATACTCTTCGTGCCCTGTAGAGACCTTTTCTGTCTTCACTCTTGGCAGTTTTGTCATTGTGAAGTGGCTTTTATAGGCTGACTTTTCATAGCAGAAGCTTGCCCGCAGAAGGTTTAGCAGATGAAATGCAGAATATCACTTGATGATCTTTCTTACTTGTAATCTTTAAAAATGATCACAGGCTGAATCCTTGTTTAGTAGTACTTCTAACAGCAAAAAAGTAATTATTGAATGATTGATTTACCATATAACTTCTACTGTAAATTAGATGTCCATAACAATAACTTATATGATTTGCTGAGACCATGGCCAGTATGCACACTGATGGTACTGTAGTGTAGGTTATACTGTGCTATCAAAATACGCAGTTCTTTTTAAAAATCAGGAGTAGTTTCCCCACCAAACCTCCGCAAGGGGAGCTCACTCCCATTTTAGTTTGGCTCTAATAATATGATTCCTTGACCAGGAAAACCTGCCTTTAGCATTCGGAATCAGATTGATATTGTTATTAGTCTGAAAGTTATTTTGCTATTGGTGGTTTTCTTCAGGATCTAGCTCAGTAACCTTTGAAGCTCTGTCAGATCTGTTGACGCTATTTATTGTGGTCATAGTTGTAAATCCGCATCATCATTTGTTGTCTTGTTACATGAGCCATGTGCTACAGTACAGTTTTTGTTGAGCCCTATAAATGTGAAAATTCTGGATCACCACATTTGGAGTATTACTTGGATCCAAATCACACTTAAGTGTGTGGTAGATCTTTATGTGGATGTTATCATGTAATTGTGTATAGAGTTAGAAGCAAAAATAAAGAAATTGGCTTTATCTCTCACAGTGGTGAAGAATCCTTTAAAAAATTTCTGGATCCAGATGATGATGATGATCCAGATCAACACAGAAATTGTTCCTTGGGTTATACCCTACCTCTCCAAAACATGTCATCCAAATGTATTCATTACAGTGTCCAACTGCTTTCTTGATTAGATGATTAATTTAGTTCCAAATATAGTTCTGTTTGTTAATGGCCTTTTTATATTGCTTTTTTATGTGACCAATAGCTCAAACCTAAATTTATAATCACAAAAGACAGTAAAGTAGCAAATTAAACAATTCAGATTTGACATATTTAAACAATTCATCAATTATCACTATAGTTTTTTGTTAATTTTTTGTTACTTGATTAATCACTTAAGTGTTTCAACTCTGAAATGAATAGTTTGAATGTCTGTGATACATTTACTGTATTTAAATCTGTGTTTTCCAGCCTTATTGTCAAAGTGCATTCTGAATTGGATGCTCATGCATGGTGTATTCCTCCTCCTTAGCTGTGGGCCAGAGCTAATCTGTGTTTATAGCGTGGCTGCAGCTCAGCCTTGTGGACCCTCTTGTCAAAGATAGCTTTTATAGGTGTCACAACACTCAGCCGCTTCAGCGTTGCTATGACAACAAGGTCTTTGGCAATAAGCCCATGTAGCATAGAGAGGCCTTCAGTGTTTATATACGTACAGTTACATGATAGAGTAATGTAAGGTACAGTAGAAACACACTTTCCAGTAATAATAATTAGAAAACTACACAACTCTCCACGACACTAGCAGCATTTTGCAACAAGACAGCAATAAATTAACTGTATATAAAAAGTATAAATGCTGTGCACTTCAAATCAGTTTTCTGCCTTCACTGATGGAATGACAAAGCCTTGGCTTCTTGCTATACTGTACTCTAAAAGTTTCATATATCCAGAAATCAAACTTACCTAACTCCAGTAATTTTTCACAGCTAAATTCTGCCACTTTCACTTTTTCAGTCAAGCAATTCGACTCAAAAGGTTCAAGACCACTATTCAGAAGCGCAGAGAACAAATACTCACTCGGTTTCCTTCTTCATGTCAGAGAAAAACACACACACACACAATTGGGGTTTGGCTGGAGTGGAGTGTGGTCGTATGTCTGCTGTTGGGAGGGGATGGTAGAGGGGGATGTTTGTATAAAGGCTGAATGATTTCTTTCTTTGCAGTGGAAAGAGGGGCTGGCAAAAGGAGGGGTGAGGTGGGGGGTGTAATCTATTTCACATCTGCAAGCGTTGGTTGGGAGACAGAGAAGCATGAAGGGTCTGTAGCATAGGAGGACATGTCTTTTTGTGACCTTGCTGAACATACAGTTCCTGTTTATTTTATGGTCCTGTTAAATGTGTTTGAAATATGCACTTTGGCAATTCAAAAAACAGCGTTGTCCCCATCAATCCAGTCTCTTCCAAACCAAGTAGGATCAATAACGCACTGTAGTGTAAGTTGAGTTTATAGGTTGGTCTGCATGGTACCTCCAGTAATGTAATCTAATTTTCCAACTGTTCCCTTAAAAACAGATGGTACTTGAAACTATTGGGGTGTAGTTCTCACATCTTTCTCCTCTTTAAATCTAGGGCATTTCTATTCTAAATTTGGTTCAGTGATTCTGTTAAAAAAAAAGCTCCCTAAACCTGTTTCTCATAGTTTCATGGTTAGCACTTTCACCTCACAGCAATAAGGCTCTGGGTTCAAATCCTGGCCGGGGCCTTTCTGTGTGGAGTTTGCATATTTTTCCCGGTTTTCTTCGGGTATTCCACCTTCCCCCCACGGTCCAAAGTGCACTCCACTTCTTGTC